TAGAGAGATGCAGCTGTCCCTGCGATGCCAGCCCAGTGTGTGCGTCTTCCACAAGATCGTGGCTCCTACACATTGCTCGCCCTGCTGCAAGCTGGAATGTGTCTCTTCTCCAACTGGCATTCCACTTTCATAGGATACCAGGAAGCTGGACATCTAGAATAAATGTCATGATGAAACCTGAAAAATTACAAAGAGCCCTTGTTTTGTTCCCCTGGCCAGTGTATGTGAGTTTTTTTCTTGCCCGTGTAGATGGTGTGGAATACGAACTTCAAATCCAGATCACACAGCAAGTGACTTGGCACAGTCCTTCCCCAGGACTCCAATTCCCTCAACCTGTGCAGCTGCTCTCTTCCTCCACCTGTGAATGTGCTCCAGGCTCCTCCAGAGTCAGGGGGATTTGGAAGGCGTGAGGTGTATAGGTTATCAGTGAACTGATAATGTCGCTTGTTGAGAGCTGAATGGTGGTGGTCACACTTGAGATTGATGGAGACCTCTTCTGCCCTTCTGCCAATGGAGCTTCCTATCCAGTTCCTGCTGACAATGGTAAATGCATTCTTTCAAGACACTGTGTGTGAGGAGGCCGTACCCTCCCAGCTCCTCTCCACAACAAGCTTCAATCCCCTCCCTACCATGTGGCCCATAGAGTAGAACTTAGGACAAATTCAAACCACAGCTTCATTTCATTTGGATCATTTCCAGCCCAGGGAAATTGCATAAAGTCTTTCTTCATCAGACTCTGGGGAGGCCTCTTTCATGTTCTGCTGACTGGATACAATCCTCAGAGTGTAGGGCATTGCCAACAACAATGTGGAAGCATTTCAGGGGTCTGACTGGAGACACCACCTGCTGATCAGCCTCAATGAGCTGGGCATGAGTAAGCCGTGGCAATCTGTTGTTATAGCCACGCCATCTTGGGAGTCACTTCTTACAGCAGCTAGGATTGCCCTTGTAGAAAGAGTGTGTAGGTGCTAAGAGGGAGGAAGTAGATTGATATAGTTCAAGTTACTAAATTTTAAAGACATGGTAAGAAAACACATGGTAGCTGGGGATGTGTCTCAGTGATAGAGCGCTTGCCTAGAATACAACAGACCCTGGAGTCAATATCCGTCCCTACAAAGAAAGAAGCATATGCTGTCCATCTTAGGAAATAACACCGAGGAGTGAGTGTGTGTGTGTGTGTGTGTGTGTGTGTGTGTGTGTGTAAGACACAGAGAACTTCTGGAAGGATCGGCACTTAATGTTGTGATAAATGCAGACTCCTGCTTATATTGGATTTGCTATGAGAAGAATATTTCTAGAATTACTTATGAAATTAACACGTAAAAGAAATTGGATTCCTGGGTAATTACTTAGCATAGACCCCTCCTTTGTTCTTCATTTATGTGAGAAAGAGAAGTGAAAAGTGTCATCTTTCCCCATTCATCAGTATTTCGTCCCCATCAGATTATTGAAAATGATTATTGAATTGTAGTTTTTGGCATAACCTCACATAAGGAATCTATAAAGAATTTAGGTAAAAAAAATCATAGAATAAAGTAGGCTGACACATCTATATTGATAGCAGAAAGTACTGACTTAGGGATGCTTCAGCAGGATTTCTGAGAACCCACACCTCTGCTTCACAGACTTTGCTTTGTTGGAGTCCACTCTGAGGCTTGGCTGCAAACACATTCTAACTTTCATTCTTTGGCCAACATTGGCTACCAAAGCTGAGTCACTGACACACTCACAGCTATAGCTGGTGCCTCTTCAGCTACTCTTAGCTACCGCCGCAGCTGCCTACTTTCACGTCACCTGAGACAAGCCACCGCTAAGGACTCTCAGAGACCTATTGGTTGGGACAGCGTGATCATTCTCCATCATACACTTGAGTATGAAGAGCTTTATATTTGGATGATGCCTTGGGAACCAGCTTCTACCTCCCAGGAGCTGTGCTGGCTTTCACACACACCCCTTTCTTCTGTTTTCCATTTCACTATCCAAAGATGGATCAGGTTTGACCATATTCCCACTTGCTTCACTAGCCAGCATTTTTATACTAGTATTATCCAATAATTCCTGTTACAGCATCTTGCTGTATACAGATAAAATAAAAACAGCAATGTGTAACTTGCTGTGTTTTTATGAAACAGGGAATGTTTATCAATATGGTTGGCAGGGGACATGATAGTAGTAGTTTTGGTTTCTTGGTGTCTCCTTTCTTGTATCATACAGATGTTTTTCAGTGTTGCGAAACTCCAAATAGGTAAGGCTTTAAGTTGGGAGAGAGACAGCTGGATGCCAAGAGATGTGTTTCATTGGAGATGGAAGTGATTCTCTCAGGGAATGATGATGTTGGTGAGGGTCGAGGCAACTTTAAGGAGAGTGAGGAGTGGGGGAAACTCCGGGAGACAGCTGTCACCTGCAGGAGCTCGTCCTGCCAGCGACCTTGACCCACCATGAGTTAGAGCCTGACAGTAAGCTACAAGAAAGTCTGAGTCCTCCCCCACTGTGTATATGATAGCTTTCCAGTGTGGAACTTCACTCCCAGAGGCGCCGTGAGCTAGGAAATGAGGACAACGGAAGAGGCTCTAGTGGCAAGACAGATGGTGCTATTCCTCTCAACCTGACTCCCTCCACCCCAGCTGAGGTGTCTCTGCTCCACCCTCCTTAGCTCTGCTAACCCCATTCCTGTCCTCGAAACAGGCGTCCTCTCCCGCTCTTCTCTCCCCAACCTCAGGCTCCTAGCCAACTCACAGGTTCTTTTCCGCTAGTCTGTGTGCCCCTTCTGCTGTGACTTCTGGGACAAGTCACACTGCAGAGTGGTGGTGCTCTGTCCAGCACCGCCCTCCCCTTTTCTCTCTCAGAAACTCCTCCATGGACTTTGCTTTCCAGGGCAAACTCGGAGCCTTTGTTTGATCCTTTGAGGACCTCAAAGGGTGGAACTGTTGTTTCCCATGGTTCTGCTCCTGTGGACTTCCTTCTTCCTAAATAACTTCTCCTCCCCCTCCTCCCCCTCCTCTTGCTCTTCCTCTTCCTCCTCTTCACACTCCTCCCCCACCTCCTTCTGGGGTTTGAGCCCAGGCAGGCAAATGGCCAATGAACTACTTCCTTTGCTCTACTTTCTAAAATAATTTTAAATACTCATTCACTTCATACTCTTTTGCTATTGGGAGACTGTGGCTGATGAACTTCAATTCTGTCTTCCTTGACTGGGTCAAGCATAGCTTTTACCCCCTCCTTCAGCTGTGGAAATCATATTTACCCCCTGCTTAAATGACAAAGCAAAAATGAAAACAAACGAAGCCTTCTTTAGGGCCTTTCTTTGTCCTTTTGCCAAAAGATACCAGTTAGGTGTGTTCTTTCTAAATGAGCACATTCTTTTATATGTTCCATTTCATAGATTGATAACATTTTAGCTCTAAATAATATATAAGGGTTTCTCTTGTTAAAAAATATGATGTTTAGGGATAACATCATGTTTCATTCTTACTAATATTTCTATCAACCCTGTTTCAGACCTTACTTTGTGGAGTGCACAGTTCGCTTAAAACATATTTGAAGTCTAAATGATAACCCATTCCCTCTTTGGGACTGTTGTATTATTACTTCTCATAACGTGGTATATACCCCACCCACTAAGCCTCGACACTCCCAGAATTCTCTGCATTGCTTCAGCAGAGCTATTTTAATAGAGTGCATCCTGTATGTCAGCCAAGCCCTGTCTTAAGTGATAAGGACAGGTGGGCTGTCTAACTGGTTCAGAATTACGACACTTTTCTGTCCTTGAGACTAAGGGAAGACTCAGTAGCTCTCCTAAACCATGTTATCTGATCATTATGAGGGGGGGGGCAAAACAAAGGCTGGTGTCCTTTGGATCCTGCCCACATCCCATTTCTGGAGTAGGTGAAGTTGAAATTCTAAATAGGTCCCCTTCAGTTTCCCATTGGATTCAAGCTTAGAGGTCCCGTGCCCAGCTTCACGGACATGTGAGCTGCCTGGTGATGAAGCAAAGGATCATTTGACTGGAGAGACCTCACGCAAATGTGCCTCTCAATCACACGCTGAACCACACCGAGCTACAGAAGAGAGTCAAGTGACTAATGCACCTGGAGACTTTCTCTTGACTCTTTCGTAGCTCAGTGGGGTTTACTTTGCCATGTCACTTGTCACAGCCTCCCTTACGTTTCTGCCTCCATTTGGCTGATGTTTCATATTTGCTATTTTCATACCTAGTGCAGAACAGAGCAATAACGACAGTAGAAAGCTGTTAACCGTAAAGGATTTATCCCCCAGCCCTTTTCAGGCACCTCCTTTAAACCCCAAATAAATACTTGCTTTCCTTAATCATGTCTCATGCTCAGCAATGTTCTACAATAGCAAAGTCATCATTCAACGGCAGAGTTCTGTAAAGATTTCCAATCATTTATATTTTTATTAATATTCTATTTCTAGCTCCGAATTATCGATAATAGATGCTGCTTTTGAAGTGCTTATAAAATTGAATTATATTATTGATGGTTATTTGCTTAATGTATGTCTCTCTCCCTTATTGTGAAGTCCCAGGGGCAGAGGCCACATTCTCTTCAGTATTGTTCAATCAATGACTGGCACATAAAATGTCCAGGGAATGTTTATTCGATGTGTGTGTGTGTGTGTGGGGGGGTTCTAACTAACCTCTCACCTGTTATAATAGTATTGAAAAGTGTTTATTCTCCCTGACCTTTGGAGTCTTTTGAAAGTCTTTGCTTCCACAATTAAGTCAATTAAACCTGCTTCTCTAATGAGGGGTTTCTCTGACCTGGAGAAGGATTTCTCACCTGTTTGCACATAGGAACCTGGCATTAGGAATTCCAGATGGTGGGGCCGTGGCATTTCCTACCAGTCCAGTACAAGAGAGGCCTGAGCACAGGAGTCTTGGAATCTCAGGCTACAGCTAATAAAATGCTTAGCTTGACACCACGGGAGGCGGGATCTAATTGGAAAGACCTATGAGTAGGACCTTATCGCTTTCTTCACAGGTGAAGGTGAGGAGTCAGCTTGAACAAAAGAAAAGGACACTGGACTAGACACATGGAAGGTGACTGGACTAGACACATGGAAGGTGGAGTCCAGCATTTCTGTTGTCTTCTCCTCGCACGCGGTACCTGGAGCAAACCCTGACCTCTGAGTCTTGTTTCTTATGCGTTTCCTGCGTCTGCAATGGAAGGCGATTGCACTCACTGTTTCTGCCTTGCAGAGCTGTTTGTGGGATGGCATGAGACTGTAAATTCAGCTTTATGCTGTTGGTCGGCGTGACACTCTTCTTGTGATTACTCCATAGGTCCCGGATTAGCAGAAGTGATTACGTGGATTTCCCAGTTTGTTGTAAGACAACATTATTATAACTTAACCTGGCTCTTTGGAAAATTGGATTCCACCTAATTCAACAGTTCCAGGAAAGGGCCTCCGTGAGTCCAAATGACATTAGTTCCCTCTGGGTGATACTCTGTGCTGTGGAGAAGGGACGCAGAAGATGCCAGTGACATGTTGGAGTGCAGAGGACACCTCCATGGAGATTCCATCGTCTTGCGTCATGTCACGAGGACCTGGGCAGAAACCCATGGACAACAGTAACAGAAGGAGGCGCATTGGTCTTTGAAAAGACGTTCTCCCAAGGGAGGAAGAATGTGTGAACAAAGGGAAAGTCTAGCGGCTCAGAAGCAAGACCGCAAGGAGCTTTTGTGTCGTTTGCATGGCACAGGCTTCCTCCTGCATCCTGCACACAATATCTCATGCACAGCATATCTCATTGGCATCTCAACCTCTGCCCAGAATTACGTTTTTGTACTGTAGTGAGTCCCAGGTGACCTTCAGGAATACGGTACCAGCGACTTCATCCCTGAAGAACCTCTGTCTGTACGAGTGACTTGGGACAGTTCTAACGGCCCATGCAAGGGAGTTTCTGGCCTTCGTCTCTGTGGACGGGCTTATTTCATATACTGGTCGTTCAGTACTGGTGTAAGGCCTCCAGGCCCTCGCTGCCCACCTTAGTCTCCCGCCCCATCAAAGGCAGGGTCGAGGGGAACATGGGAGGTAGTAGCCTCCTCCCAGAATGGCTGCGCTTGGTTTTATCTTAGGGATAAGCCCAGCTTTGCTGGGAAGTCCTGGTTTTTAACAACCCATCCCCTTCAGCTTCTCTCAAACACTTAGCCATGGCCTGTCCATGGACAGACATTCACGGCGCAACTCTCCAGGCTTTGTGGATGACGGTGAGTGGATGCAGACACGACTTAATAGGGATCGCGGAAACCATGCTGCCCCTTGCTGCCTTGGCTCTCTCTTCCTTAGATGCTTTGCCTTTGTGGGGCAGGATCTACTCTGACCCCTTTTGTTGTCCCTCTCTCCCAGAAAGCCTCTGGAAGTTTCTACTTCCCCATTGCGTGTAAGTTCGGCAGTCTTCACGCATTGATATGTCTCTATTAGAGCCTTTCATGCAAGATTGTGTATGAGTGTCTTCAACAATCGAATCTCAGAGTGGCGGTCACTGACGTGGAACATGGCTCTGAGTCAGCAGCCTCCTCTTTCCCCAGGAAATCCTCACGTAGGTAATTGCATCGCTCTTGTTTCAACCGGTAAGATGCCCACAAATCAGCTTAATCTCCTTGGCTATCAGAAAAAGAAAGAAGCGACGTTTTCACTTTTTGATGACCTAGAACCCTTTGCACTGGAGAGAAGGAAAAAATCCCCAGCAGGACAGAGGGACAGGGTTTAATTTTCAGAAGCCGAAACTTCTTTAAAGTTCCAAACCATTTAAACATTTACCGAGTTGGTTATTTGGCATCATGCCACACGAGCTCGCCGATAATTGGTTTCACCTTTAAATCACTTGACCAGGCTGCCCTGATGTCTTGGCGTCTCGCCAGACAGGCTCAGCATGTAATGCTTGCTTTCTTTGGGCCTCCCAATGTGTCAACTGAGTCACAGGTGCAAATGATCTGCAAGAAAAGTCCTTGTCTTTCCTGTGAATTAATAAACTGTGCGCTTCTCATCCCTGGATATTTGGAACACCTTCGTTTTTTGAAATCCAATAAGGACATTCTTCATGGAGATAATTAAAAGCCTGTGCCCTCAGCCAACAAAGCAGGTTATAATCAAAAAGTTGAGGGTAGAGGTTTGTCTTCAAAATTGATGAATCAGGCACAAAACCCGGATGTAGACACGCAAGATCAAAGTGGAAATTGCCTCTGCTAGTCCCTTGAAGAGCAAATTGTTTTATTGACTTTTCCTCCACGTTGGCCTTGTTCTGCCTTGTAGGGCTTTTTCCTTCTTTGCATTTGCAGAAAAATAGAATCCAGTGGCTTCTGAGGAGGGAAACAGAGACTTTGGCTAGCACCGTCTGTCTTGCTGGGGGCAGAACCAACTTTGATGTCGCACTGTTTAATTACAGCAGAGCCTTCCACCACCTCCAAAGAAAAAGCCCGCTACGGCCTTTCCTTTCAGAAGGCCACAGAGAGTGTGGGCGGGCGAACGTCGAAGTGTTGACCCTCCTGTAAACGGAACCCTAAGATGTTTATGGTCAGAAGGAAAGGCTTGGGTAACCTTTGACCCTTCTCAGACTACCCCACCTGGGACTGGCAGAGATGCAGCTACTCTCTTTCTTGAGAATTTCTAGACTACACACCAGGCAAGGACAAGCCCGCTTTCAACACCTAATCAGTTAGAAGAAAGCAGGCAGCCTCGTGAAGTTCTGTGAGATGAAGGGGTCTCAAAGTCAAAGGAATCGGCTTCTTTTCACTCGGAAGGCATCCTTCCCTGCCGCTGCCCAGGGTGTCTCCCATTTGCTCGAGTGAAGCAGACACATGCAAGTAAGTCATCAGTGTTTTATAAACTGTGACAAATCTGTATTCTCTCTGTCTCTGCCCCTTCTGATTAAATTCCTTCTCTGTGTTGTCCGTGTTCAGTTGCTACTTTTTTTTTGTTATATTATCATTTTGTAGAAATTATTTTCACAGGACACATGGCTTTGCTTCTGAGTTGAGAACCAATAGCGTCATCAGGGAGGCCCGTTCTCTCTGCCCGGCTCTTCAGATTACGTTGGAATAATTTTGCTTGAAAATGGCAACATATAAATCAGAAACCCTGCCTCTCAGAAGGAGCAGCACAATGCATTTTCAGGGTCCTTCTGGCTTTTACCAAGCTGTTGCGCCCCTCAAATGGTGATGAGCTCATAAATGTTTAGCAAATCATGGTAATGAATGTAGCGAGGGCAGAAGTAGCCAGCGTGTGTGTTTTTTTAATCATGCATCATTCAGTGCAAAGATGACTCTTGGATGTTTTGGCAAATTAATTTGTATTGCACTTTGGGGTAGGGAGAGAGCAGATGGACTGCAGTTGTCAGACGTGTCCTGGCAAGAGCTGCTAATGAGATTGCCCTGACACTGCCCCTGTGAGCCCAGCAGTGGCCCCCGAGAACGGGACTTCTTTGCTGTTTCCCCAGAGGGTTTCGGGTGAAGCCCGGTCCGTCCTTCTCCACGGTTGCAGATGTTTGTGCCGCGCAGGTCTCCAGCTTTAGTGCAGCCACAGATTGCTCCCCAGGCGCATCTGCAAGGCAGGTCACAGCAGCAGCAGCAGCAGCAGCAACGCTAACACTTTGCTTTGCCATCATGTGCTCTTAGAGAGCCATGCCACCCTGTCCCAAGTCAACGGCTTACACTTTTGTGAAATCCTATCTGAAAGTCCTGACACAGCCAAAAGGCTTCCTATGCTTGATTAAAAGACAAATGGTTCTCGGGGAAAACAGCCTTTGGAAGAGGTTTTATGTTTCAGCTCTCTCCTAAGCTGGGGGGGGGTTGGAAAAATAAGGAAGGAGGGGGAGATGGAAGTTAGCGGGCACGTGGAATATTAGGTTCTCTGGTCTTTGTCACTGTAGGGCCCTGCAGAGTGATGGGGTCACATCCCAGCACACCCCTGTCTGTGGGTGCTGCCGTCCTCCCCATTCTGTGGCCATCCAATCCTTTACTCTCTTTTCGAGTAACGGGGATACAGCTGCTGCTAGGCAAAGCTTCTTGCCCTCATGTTTCCCCTAGTGCTGCCTCTTGTGTAGTGCTCCGTTCTCAGAACTGTCCTCTCTTTCTGCACAGAGAGCAGAAATGTGGGAGCAGATGTCTGAGAAAAACCCGGAGGTTTTCAATGAGTGGGTGAGAACCAGGTCCGGAACATGCTTATCGTAGGAATTGTTTCTGTGCCCACAGTCTTTGAATACATGTGACTTTCCTCCAAAAATACCCAAGCAAACAACACTCATTTCTGCCACTTGGGGGAGCTGTGGCACACCAGGCGTAGATACCGCTTCTGGTAATTGTGAGTGGTTTGGCTGACTGGTATGTCTACTGAGACCTTTAAAACACCGGTTCAGTGGCAGGCAACAAAAAGACTTAGGGAGGATAATGTTACTCATGTTACCAGTAAAATATTTGAATATAAGGGCTGATGTAGAGCTCTTTGATTATTTTCACGTGTGTTCAACATTTGACAGAATTTGTACTTTAGGCCTTGGCACTGAGTTATTTTATTGCTAAACAGTAAACGGCAGTAAGTGCTGCGTGGCCTGTTTATTAAACCAGACGTGTGAGCAGTAATGGGGTGAGGCTAGTAGCATGCTCGAGGCTCACACTCACAGACAATGGCTTCGTATTAACTACCTTTTGTCACAGCTGTGTTGTGGAGCGCCTCTGTCCCTCTGTTTTCTTTGTAAGGCAGTGGTTCTCAACCTTTTTAATGCTGTGACCCCTTAATGTAGTTCCTCGTACTGTGGTGATCTCCTGGCCACCAAATTATTTTCTCTGCTGCTTTATAATATATTTATTTATTTTTGCTGCTTTTATGAAACATAATGTAAGTATCTGACACACAGATGGTCTTAGGTGACCCCTGTGAAAGGGGTCACAACCCACAGATTGAGAAGTACCAGTGTGAGGGAACAGAGGCACAGGCCAGCTCTGAGGCTAGCCTAAGCTAACTGTGCTGGTGAATGGTGATAGGAGGCTAGCCTAAGCTAACTGTGCTAGTGAATGGTGAAGCCAGGATTCAGACACAAGCATACTTCAAAGTCTACATTCTTAACCACTGCTGACATTATCAACACCGGAGCCATCCGTCCCCCATTACCAAGTCACAGTTTGGCATACATTCTAGGAGAACTTAACTTACCATGCTTTCGTCCTCATTGCCTCACCGATGCGGATGACTGAAACTAGAATACCTATTTTGCACATGGCTGAGCCCCAGATGCCTTGATAAAGGGCTACACCAGTTATCAGGAAATCCCTTGAACTTACACTGACACCATCATCTTTCCTGAGGCATCCAGTTCTAGTCTTATGCCACCAAGAGAAGGGACTTCTCTGAAGAACAAGAGGACAGCCAGTGATGGCAGAGACCACAGCAGTCAGTGTCACAGAGACACAGAATTCAGTGTCACAGAGGCCACAGCAGTCAGTGTCACAGAGGCCACAGAAGTCAGTGTCACAGAGGCCACAGAAGTCAGTGTCACAGAGACACAGAAGTCAGTGTCACAGAGGATACAGAAGTCAGTGTCACAGAGGACACAGAAGTCAGTGTCACAGAGGACACAGCAGTCAGTGTCACAGAGGCCACAGCAGTCAGTGTCACAGAGACACAGAATTCAGTGTCACAGAGGCCACAGCAGTCAGTGTCACAGAGGCCACAGCAGCCAGTGTCACAGAGGCCACAGCAGTCAGTGTCACAGAGGCCACAGCAGTCAGTGTCACAGAGGCCACAGAAGTCAGTGTCACAGAGGCCACAGCAGTCAGTGTCACAGAGGACACAGCAGTCAGTGTCACAGAGGACACAGCAGTCAGTGTCACAGAGACCACAGCAGTCAGTGTCACAGAGGCCACAGCAGTCAGTGTCACAGAGGACACAGCAGTCAGTGTCACAGAGGACACAGCAGTCAGTGTCACAGAGACCACAGCAGTCAGTATCACAGAGGCCACAGAAGTCAGTGTCACAGAGACCACAGCAGTCAGTGTCACAGAAGTCAGTGATGGCAGAGGACACAGCAGCCAGTGTCACAGAGGCCACAGAAGTCAGTGTCACAGAGGCCGCTGCTGTAGGGTATGGCCAACTCATGAGGTCTGACTGGCTTCGTGCTCACCGCTCAAGTTTACTGATTTACACTGCCCGCCAGGAGTCGCGAGCTTTGCAACACGATGAAGTGATGCGAGCGTGGTTCCAAGTCAGTTGCATCGACTGAGCGCACCAGCACCATCGCCTTTAATAAACGGCCAAACAGAACTTACCCCCGGGCTGCCTGCGGTCGGCTCCCAGCCAGTTTACCACCTCTGCTACACATTTATCTCTATTAGTAGCACCGATTGGAAAGTTGCCACTGGCTTCTGATGTCAGATAATGCGCCATCCAGCTGCACATTAATAAATAAAGACAGACAGCAGAACCGCAGATTTGGTCTATCTGGGGCAGACAGGCTATGACTGTAGGGGTATTTGGTTCCTGAACAAATCAAAGAAGTATCTATAGGATTCTGATTAGTAAGCCAACTCTGGGCAACTGTGATTTGGTGCTTAGTTCTGTGTGAGATAAGCACGAAGGAAATAAACAGAAAATGTTATCGGTCTTAGAAGCTCCTTGAAGTTTTTGCAGGAGGGAAACAGTTCAGTGGAAACGGCTGAGGCTAAGGACGTGGACACGTCGGAGTGAGATTTGAGGTGTGCAGTTCCGGGAGTGAGAGTCAGTGGCCTGGGCCTAAAGCAGACAGAAGCTTCAACACCTCCATCGGGCCTTTTCAAATATAAGATGCTAGCTCAAGCCTGCCATTGTCAGAGCTTTGAGAGAAAACACATCCGCCAAGATTAGGTAACAAACTGGCTGATTGTGGGACCATAGATAATTCACCTGGCTGTTTGAATCAGCTCCGAGAGGTATAGTAAGACCTTTCAGTGTCTTTGATACTGTCCTTGAGACTTGGGTGATTATTCTTCTCTTTTCCACAGCGTTCAACAGCATGGCATGGGCTAGTTGGATATAGCATCCATCCATCCATCCATCCATCCATCCATCCATCCATCCATCCATTCATTCAGAGTTGTTTGTAGATGCTAGATTCTGTACTATAGTTAAGAGATATTTCAGGTCTTCCACATGGAAAAAAAACATAGATTTAGGTGTCAAGATATCTGGGTTATAATCCTGGATGAAATTTAATGTACCCACCTTGGTTTCGACTCCATGTTTATCAATGAACAGTTGGCTCCACCCGTGGTGTGTAACTCAGCTTTGTTGTAGTCTGTAGTCTCTTTCTCAAATTGCGTTGGGACATTTTAGAACAGTGGTTCTGAACCTAGACAGTCTTGCCCCTCATAAACGTTCATTAATGTCTAGAAACAGAAACAATGCTGGAGGAAGGGTAGTGATTGCTGGCATCATCTAGGGGAGGAGATCAAATGTCAGATGTCCCACAGTGTTGAAGACTGTCATCCAGAGTTCCCGCAGAACTCAGGTGCAGGGACACTGCCACAGATGATGTAAATGAGGCCGAGCAGCTAGGACTCTGAATCCTGTAATCCGCTAGAATGCGTGGGCTTGGTCAGCAGGACACTAATCCACACAGACTTCATTTCTTTCTTATTACTGGGCTTAAACTATGCCTTAATTCCCTCGCCGTGGTCTCCGATAATCCAGAGTTCACCCCATGTGTCCAGTCCATTTTTCTCTCGCTACAGGTCAGAGTCTCCCTGCGTGTAGACTCTTAATGCCTCCAGGAGGAGGGTAGCAGAGGCCGAGTCTGCAGTCACCCCTGGTCCCTCACACTTCTGTGCAGCAAAGA